TTTAGCGCTCAGGAGGCTGAGACAGGAGGATCACCCCAAATCCGAGGCCAGCCTGGGCTACATAGTGAGACCCTGTCTCAAGCAACAGCAACAACAAGTGTAGTGAAAAACCAACTGTGGTGAGGGTGTAGAGTGATAGGAGCTGTCGTGTGTTTATGGTGACCATGGAAACGGGAATATTACTTTGGCATGAAACTTGGCAGGACAGAGAAAAGCTGAAGATCGCATTCCCTGTTGCCTTCCTTATTCATATATCCAATAAAGACACAGTGTATGCTACCGTGTATCGGGACATGTGTATACGAATAAGAAACTGATTGGCAGTAGTCTCAAACTGGAAACACCCCAAATATCCATAATAGAATAAATAAGCTACAGATTGAATATAATGAATATTATACAGCAATAAACCAGAACATATAATACAATCTTAAAGCATAGTAATGAGCAAAAGAAGCCAAATACCACAGAATGTAGACATTTGATGCCGTTTATATAAAGTTCAAACCAAACAAAATTAAATCCTGTGGTGTAAGGATGTGTGACCAGGAAATAAAATTTATTTATTTATATCAATGTATTTAAATTCATTTATGTTCGTGGATTTATTTATTTATTTATGTTCTTGTAATGCTGGGGATTGAACTTTAGGGCTTTGCACGTGCTAAGCAGGCACGTGTAAACTCAGTGGTAGCACTGAAATATATTCCCAGACCCAGGTAATAACTTGTAATGAATGTCAATAAAATGAGTGACATAACAAAACAAAACAAAGCAAAACAAAAAACCCCAAAACACAACCCCAAATAAATAAATAAAAAGGGCCTGGGATTTAGCTCAGTGGTGCGGCTGACTGCCTTGCAAGCCCAAGGTCCTGAGTTCAATCTCTGGTACCAAACCAAACCAAACACACTAAAATGAGCGACATTAAAGTCATTATCTTCAGGGAGCCTCAGATGTGATCTGCCAAAGGACACAGGGGAGGAGCTTCCGGGGTGTTATAATGTGCTTTTGCAACAATGTGTTGTGTTTGTGTTTTTGGCACTTTTCTGCCTGCTTGTTATATCACACACACACACACACACACACACACACACACACACACACACACACATCCAGGTGGGCATCTGGATGTTGGAGCCAAAGGAAGTAGCTACATTGTAACCATTTGACTCTGGATACCCTCCTGAAGGGACAAAATGACTTAGGATCCCTACTGAAACAAAAAGTGTGAATTCCTCCCTAGGAAATAAATTAGTTTTTAATTGAATGGAAACTATGAAAAAATTGCTGGCATCTAAAAGACCTTTATTTATGCAGGTGCTGTGCTATAAAACAGTCTAATCTGCCTTGTTCATGAAGCTGACTTTACAGCCCAGTAAACTAAAGAAAAGCCTTATGTTTAGCTGATGAACAAGTTGAGGCTAACATCTAGTCTACTTATGTGAAGGTTTTTTCTTTTTTATTTTCCTCAATCTAGTGTGAAAAAAGATGCTGGCTCCCTTGCTGTGAAATGGTTTTATTGAGAGTCTGTCTTTATCCACGTGAAATGCAAACTTCTATCTTAGTGAAAGTTGTGCCAGACAATGGAAAGTGGCACTAATGATAATAGCCATGACTCACACAGTGTTCCAACTAAGATCCAAGCACTATTTTAGGCAGTTTACAGCTATTAAAACATTTTGATAAGTTACTCTTGTGTTTGGAGAAGCCTCTCATCTTTTGAAAAGAATTTCCTTATTTTGCAACTCAAGATATTATAGCCTCCTATTGCATCTTTCCTGTCCCAGCCCTGAAGTCTTTGTCATTTTCCCAAGGAGTCCTAGTCTGTTTCATAGAGAGTGATGTTTAGAAACCAAAATCTAGGCTTGCCTATCACTACTATGTTCTACTGTCTTTAGGCCATTTACACAATCAAGACATATGTGCACACACTTACACATATATACATGGACACATATATGTATCTGTATCTTTTTTTTTTCTTGAGACAGGGCTTCCCTGTGTAATCTACATTGGCCTTGAATTTGCTCTGTGGCTTAGGCTAGGATGAAATTTGAAATTCTCCTGCCTCATCTTCCGAGGTGCCGAGATTAGAGGCATGTGCTGCTAACTTGATTTCTATTTTTATATTGATCTCTATTGTAGCAAATACTCTGAAGTCATACTGACAATTTCAATCCCAGTTCAGCAACACTGCATTCATTCAAGCTTTCCTCCTTTCCATGCTGGTAATTCCAGCACTGAGAAACCTATTTTTTTTTCAGCTTTAATTGAGTTTATTGGTACATCTTAGGGATACAGTACAGTTACATTCATTGTTGGGATGTTGTACCTCTACATGACAAGTCTTGGTTCTCATTTTTTCCCCTTGTCCCTGCCCTCCCTTCACCCCCTTCTCCCCTCCCCATCTACAACCACTTTATTTCCATCTTTTCATTATCTCACATTTTTTTTCTTTTCCCTTATTACCCTTCCCCTACCCATCCCACCTTCCCTACACCTTTAGCTCTTTTCTTCCCATTTCTAAATGTCAGTTATCTTATTAGGATCTTATGTATTATTGCAGATTATTCACACCAGAGAAACTATTCGGTATTTATACATGTGTGCCTTATTTATTTCACTTAGGAGTATATCTTCAATATGTATTCATTTTCCTATGAATGAATCTACTTTCTCTTTCTTTATGGCTGAGTAATATTCCATTTTATAGAAAAACCACATCTTCTTTATCCAGTTTCCAACAGATGGGCAAATGGGCTGTTTCCAAGTTTTAGCTATTACAAACTGTGCCGCTATAAACATGGGTGCTCATACTTCTCTGTGATATGATTCTTTTAGTTCTTTTGGAAATATACCCAGCAGAGGGATGGCTGGGTCAAATGGAACCTCCAGTCCAAGCTCTTTGAGATATCTCCATATTGAGAGAAACGTATTTTTAATCACTTTAAATGTAACTGATTTAAAATGAATACATTGCTTGTTTAAAAAAATACCTTCCCACTTGTATGGATTTTTGTTCTCTAAGAACTCTAAAAACTTAAGAGATTTCATTCATTTTCTCCATCCAATCAAAAAACATTAATCAAGCAAACACTCTGGTCAAATAATGTTCTAGGGCTGGGGATTCAGCAGTGAACAAACACTGCAGTAGGAGGGAAGCGGTGAGAAGGGAAGAAAAGACACAAAGCTGGAGAGTGGCAAAGCCGGGCTCTGAACCCAGACAGCCCGGCTCCAGGACTCATGCCATAAACCATCTGCCTCCTACAAAAGTCTACAACTCTCTTGAATCCAATAAAAATGCCTCTGTCCTGCATCTACACAGTGCAGAGCTTTGCGCATCTCCCATGCTGCCTAACTGCTCTGAGACTCAGTTTCCCCAGCTGTAAAAACGGAGACGCAGATGTTAACCTGCTGTGAGGCTGAGTGACACTGAGTGAGATGCCTGATGCTACTGGGCCCACATCATAGGTATTGAATGGAGTTAATTTTTCTTTTCTGGGGATCAAACTCAGGACCTTGTGAGGCAGGAGCGGTGCCACTGAGCAAAATCCCCCGCTCTTTCCTTTTCTTTTTCCACACAAATGCTGCACTATGGAGTTTCCCCAGAACAAGATTTCTTTTGTAAATTAATTGAATCACTCACTCGTCCAGTCATTTTTATATCCATCCAGTTCAGTTCATCAGGGAAGACCATACTGACCGAGGTCTTGGCGCTTGAACTGGGATCGCGCAGAGGTGCACAGATGAAGAAAGGGCAGCTGAGGTGTTTATGTTTTTTGTGTTTTTGTTTTTTTCGCTTTTTGGTACAGGCGATCAAACTTGGGTCCTTGCGCTTTCAAGGCCAGGCGGCGAAACCACTGAGCTAAATCCCTAGCCCAGGCAGCTCAGGTTCCTAACGAACTTCTAGATCTATTGCTAAATAACATGTTTATTTTACACATTTAACAATGTGTTTTCAGTACACAAGGTAGCAAGCACTGGGAGTGGGTAAGCTTTTGAGACAAGGAGGTGGGGACATCTCCAAAAATCTGCTAAGCAGGCTTCCTAAGTGAGTACACCATTGGGGCTTAGATATATTCTGTACACTAATTGGAATCATCAACAGCTTATCAGAGGTCTAAAATGATCAAATTTATATTTGTTGGTAGGGTAAAGGGTGGGGAAGAAATCAGTGATGCTAGCAAGGAGACCATATATGTGAATAGATTTGAGGTAGACCTCTTTGATTGGGGGAGATAGAATTTGGCAATGGTTGCCAATTACTTAGGAAGAACATATATATAAAAAGTGCATTTCTGGAACCCTTAGAGCCAACATTGTTTAAACAGCTGAGAGGGAAACATTAAAAAGCATCCCGTGAGGAAATCAAGAGAAGAATCAGAAGAGAATTAGGAAAACATGATGTCACAGGAGTAAGATGAACAGAGAACAGAATAAGAAAGATAAGGAGAGTGGGACTATTGGGTAGAATGTTGTATAAAGACCACAAAAGCGTCCGCTTGATTTGGCAGTGTGTGACTTCGGCCAGAGCAGTTTCTGTCAGTGTTGGGGGCGGGAACTCCGCTGTAATAAATGAGTGGATGAATGAATAAGCAGAAATAGTGAAGGGACTGCACAAATCCAGGGCTGTGGGGCGGGGGACTTAGCTCAGTGGTTCCACCCCCTGCCTCACAAGGGCAAGGTCCCGAGTTCGAGTTCCATACCCGGTACAAAAAAAATATATATATATCGAAAGCTGTGCCCTCCCTTCCCCTGGAGTTGGGGCAGAGGAACGGCCTTCTGGACCGGGATCTAGATACTGCCTAGAAACTGCCAGCCTCACCAGCCTTAAACGTAGCTCCAAGGTCAAGGTCACCTCCGGACTCTAGGCAACCTGTTACCTTGACTACCAACAGAAAAAAAAAAAACAAAACAAAAACAAAACCGGAAAGGACGGAAGCCATCCGGTCATCTCGCGATATCTGGAGTGCGAGCGCCAGTCTTCTGGGCCTGCCGCCTTGGCCGGCTCTCGCGAGACTTGCCGGGACTAGGAGTGCGGGAGCCGGCCGTGAGGAAAAGTGGAGCCGCGGGTGGGGAACATGTCGGAGTCTGACCTCGGCAGGAAGTGGGACCGGTGTTTGGCAGATGCAGTCGTGAAGATAGGTAAGGGCTTCTCGTTCCTGGCAAGCCCGGCCCGTAGCCGAGCAGCCCGGAGGGCGGACGGGCGCGCGGCCTGCTCCAGCCCGGGCGCTCAGGGCGAGCTGGGGCCGAGCGCGGACTGGAGGTCCCGGGGGTAACGAGGGGCCCAGGCCGCGCAGCTGCCGGGGCGGGAGGCTGGAGTTGCAGCCTTGGGCATTGCCGTCGGGGTGGCAGGTGGCAGGAAAATCGCGGAGCGCCTGGAGGGGAAAACCGCCGGACGAGACCTCGTGTGCGTTGGGCTTGGAATTCTTGTTGCCCCTTCCCCCGGCTCTGAGCCCGGAGCCTGCTCGGGAGGCCACACTGCCTCCCAGCTGAAGCGAAAGTGCCTTCTGAAGAAGGTCATCCGGAGTGTGTTATAGGCACTGTCAGGCCCTGATGCGAATCGCTGTCATTCCCGATCTGTCACCGCATTTATGGGAATCAGAGCAGTCTGGGACCCGAAACTGGAGACAGCAATGATGATCCGGAATGAGAGTTGCCCTGGAGAGTGAGAGCTTCGTCACTTTTCAGTCCTTGGTGTAACTCCGGGTTGTCTTGCCATGTACTCAGTGACAGCGCAAATTATGAAGTTGTCATAGTGTGTGTGTCTGTGTGTGTCTTACTCAGCGTGTGCTTAGATGCCTCCCCTGGATCAGGTGCAGCAATTTAATACATTACCATAAATAAGCTGTTGCGGATATGAAGTGGTCAGTGAGGTGTAGGAATTTGCCCAGAATCACAGCATTTAACCTGGCTTTTCTGGTTCTGGTACCTTTGACTCCCACACTCACTCTTCCACACTACTTTTTATTATCCATAGTGGAAATCTTAGGGTATTTAAGAGAACCTAGGATTGTGTCTTTGAATGAAAATGCTGGGAAGAAAGTAATATAGTAAAGCTCCGTGAAAGCAGGGATGTTTTCTGGTGTATTCTCTGCTGACTCCCCAACTCCTAGAAGAATGTACAAATTGTTGATGAGTTAATAAATGAAATAATTTATCACACTTACTGTTTCACTCCCAAATTCAGCACTTAGCAGCTCTGTAATTTAGGACACGTTAACCTCTCTGTGCTTGTTTCCACGTGTATGAATTAGTAATAATAATCACTACTATCTCATAGAGTTGTTGGGAGGATTAAATGAGTTTGTTTATAAAGGTTTGAGTGAGGCTCACTAGGTAGAAATTGGTCGTTCTGGGAGTGACCCCAAAATACAATTTTGTGTTAAAACTTTGCATTTGAACGAGAAGTAAATACTAGTTACTCAATAGTGTGATAGAGATGTTTAGAATTGGCTTTCTCATAGACAGCCGAGTTTGAGTTACCCACGCTCCATCCTCACCCTCACCAATATTGTAGCTTTGGGTAAGGTCTCTTCCACAGCTATGAAATGAGCATAAAGATTTACTTAACAAATTAAAGACACTAAAGGACGTTTTGAAAAATACATAAGATACCATGATACCTGGCATGTGTTATGTATTCAAGAAATGTAGTAATATTATTTACATTAACATGGTGCCATTGGTGACCACCTGGGGCAGTGAGGTGGAACCCTGTGATTCTGAGTGGGACGCGCTGCTGCGGGTGCGTGGGGCATGCGCTTGTGGAATGATAAAACGAGGCATGGTAAGATGTTACTACAGAGCAAAGTAAAAATAAGAGATTCAGGCTTTCTGTTGTAGAGCTTTTGTATATCAAGCAAATGCAGCCGGGATTTAGTTCAGTGGTACTGTCGCCTGCCTCCCAAGTGCAAGGTCCTGAGTTTGATTCCCCCATAGCAAAAAAAAAAAAAAAAAAAAAAAAAAAAAAAAAAAAAGAGCTCAGTGCAGCCAATAAGATATTGCAAGGGAAGTGGGCCTTCAGCTGGTCTTTGTAGAAAGGCATGGACTTGGATATTCATATTCAGGGAGAATGGAAGAGCCTAAGCAGAAGTCATGGTGAACCTTTCCGGAGGAGGAAACTGAAGCATGGAAAGGTTAAGTATCCAGAAGTAGGGGACCTGGGGCTGGACTACAGGCATTCTAATTTCAGGGGCATAATTCACTAAAGAAAAGAGCGGATTAGGCGAAGTTGGAAGCGTGAAGGGTCTTAGATTCCATTTTTCTTAAAATAATTAAGAGCTGCTTTTGACTTTGTCACACGTATCTGCATATTCAGCATCTCTACATTAAAATCTGTTGCTTCCTCTACAGGTAAGCTGGTGGGGAATCACGGGGTGTTTTAAGAAACAGATATTTATTCCACTGTGGGCCACCCAGTGAGGAAATAGAGAGGCATAAGTCATTTCACTACTCTCAACGGGGAATTGATATACTGTAAATGGAATTTTGGTATGATCATTCTGGCAGTGTTCTGGCAGAGTGGATTTGGAGTAGAGGAAGCAGGCAGTACTGTGTATATGATTGATAAAAGATCGAACTCAGACTGGAAAGGAAAGGGGTGCATTTGAGAAACTTCAGAGTTTTTCCCATTTATCAAATGGAGATAGTAGTATCTCATGTAGGCCAGCCAGTGCCACGTATGTAGCAGGGACTCAGTAAAAGTACTTGCTCTCTCTCTCTGGTTAATTCTTCATTTCTTGCAGAGATGACTTCAAGGTCAGGTAAGTACTAATGTCATTGATCGTAGTTTGGAAGTTAATGAAAAGGGATATGAACAAAATCCATCGTACCATATGAGACAGGACAATCAGGACAAAGAACCAGAAACTGATTACATGAGCTGGCAGGAGATCAGAAGAATGTAGTGAGAAAAAAAGTCATGATTTGGTTAGTTTTCTTCTTAGTTGAATGAGAGTGATCAAGGAAAACTTCAGAAGGTTTAAAATTTGAGGACAAAACGAGTTCAGATTTGAGTGAATTTTCCCTTTAAGATTGACCTTAGAGAAAGGACAGAAGAGTAAGAGAGAGAAGGCCTGGAAAACTTTGTTTGACCTTTTATGACCATGATGGTGAACGCTTTTTCTATTAAGTGTGGCTTCCTGTTCCAATGTAGCTAGTGAAGTTCTAGAACTCCCTAGGCCTTTTTTGGCCCTGTGCTTTTCTGTTACTTCAGAATGGAGATGGTATCTCAGGGAATGGAGGTTTGATGGAAGATGTAGGCAAAGAAAAAGGCTTTCAGCACCATTTTGACAGTTTCTTATACTGACTTTGCAGAAACTATAGGGACAGGAACTTTTGTGAGCTCTTCCCTGTTTGCTTGTCTTACACAAAGTGTTTTCATTCTTTCTCCCTGGGTTTGCTAAGAGGTGACTATTTTGTGTGTGAGGCTGGACATCAAACCCAGGGCCCAGTGCTAGGCAAGTGTTCTACTACTGAGCCCAAAACGTGGAGGTTTTAATTTAATTTAATTTTTTTTTTTTTTTTTGGTGGTACCAGGGATCAAACTCGGGTCCTTGCGCTTGTGAGGCAGGCCACAGAACCACTGAGCTAAATCCCTGGCCCTAATTTTTTTTTTTTTTTTGAGAGAGAGCGGGTCTTGCTATGTAGTTCAGGCCGGCCTTGAACTAACCATGCAGCCTAGACTGGCAGTCCTCCCTCAGCCTCCACACTCAGCTAAAGGCATATCTTTAGTATAGGTACTGAACTGCTTTGTTGGGTTGCTTTCTCAGGTACGTACTTTAGGTAGTGGAGTGGTTCTTTTTAAAAGTGTTCCTCAAAGATCTTTGAATAATACCTGAATGGAAAGTTCTCATATCCTGCAGGGAGAGATGTATCTGTAACGATACCCTTCCCTCTATTATTATCATAATAAAATAGTACAGAATATTTTCCCCTGTTAATTTTGGTGTTGAAATACCTACTTATTTTGTATTTTGTGTGTAAAAGGATAGGTGATTTCTAATAACTGATAAATTAAGACCATAGATTAAAAAAAAACAAACAAACATTCCTCCTTCTCTGTTTCAGCCCTTGTTCCTTTCTTTTCCTCTCTTCCCCCAACTTTTTTTTCCCCTAGTGGTGCTGGGGGTGGAACCCAGGATCTCCATCCAGCTCTGCCACTGAGCTGCACTCCATGCTTCCACGTCACATTTTTATCCCTCTCTGACCTGTGTCTTATTCCTGCCATTGCTCCTCACGTGCGTTGCATGGTTCATCCATAAAGTTTGAGTTTTTTTTTTTAATAACCTGTTCACTTTTAAGGAGTTCCTATCCTAAGTGTGCTTTTTAGTCTCTGTCACATTCATTTTTCTTAGTAGCATATATCACCTTCTGAAATATGCAGTTTCTGTCTGATTGTTTCACCTCATTCGAATGCAGACTTCATTAAGAACTAGACTGTTTTAAGCCGGGTGTGGTAGCGTACGCCTGTAATCCCAGCACTCGGGAGGCTGAGGCAGGAGGATCACTGAGTTTGAGACCAGCCTGGGCTACATAGTGAGTTCCAGGTCAGTCTCAACTACATAGTGAGACCCTGTCTCAAAAAACCAAAAAAAAAAAAAAAAAAAAAAAAAAAAAAAAGAAAAGAAAAGAACTAGACTGCTTTGTTCACTGAGCCCCTCATCCTCCAGGGTAGGGGAGGCATCCCATACTGATTGTCAAGTGAATAACATGTATTGCTGAGGATTTGTTTTCTGCAATATTTGTTACTCAGATGCTTATTAATTGAATGAATTATCATTTAAATTAAAAAGTCCAAGAATATTTTACATTAATTTCTGCCACTTTGCGTTTGATCATGTGTCCTGGAACTGTTGGAAATTTTACCAATTTTTTATTTCATTGGGGGATATAAATTAATGTCAGTAGAACTTAATAATAAAGTATTGGAAATATTTGGGAGTAGTCAACCAAGAAACATAAACCAGAGATCACTTTGTATTTAAACAAATATGTAAAGGGTGATGTTGGTTTGAACAGTAGTGCCAAAGCTTTACTGCAGGAAATTAAAAGGAGTGAAGAATGTTACATTTTATGAATGGTATGTTCCATTAGTTCTATGTGAATGCGTCATTAATGGTTTTTGCTAATTTTATAGATTT